TACAAATAGGGCATCGGGTACCATCCAACTCGTTAAACTGTGTTTCTGTTCATTTTTCCGTCTAGGTCAATAACAGAGTGAGCAAAAAAAGCAGAGATACTAGCTCAGCTTTGACTGGGGCCTACCGACCTACTAACTCGATTGAAAAATAACAACAAGGACTGCGAGGTTATGAAAATGGAAGTGGGAAGAACAAATTAGGTTTAGGATAAACTAATCGACACATCTCAATCACCATCTTCATATCGTATTGCACAACAAAATCTGGTGGGTTGATCGGGGAGAACAAAATCAGTTGGATTGATCGGCGGAGAGCGCATCCACAAGAAGGCGAGAGGGATTGGGGTGAATTCCTCCCCCTACTCAAACTACTCGTCTTCTGAAGATCTACTCGAAGGGTTTTGGTTTGCGGCGAGATTCAACTAGAAGGGAACATTAGAGAAATAGCCGAGAAGAAGAAGTTCACCTCCATCCTCTCCGAATCAAGCTTCGAACCTTCTGTCCTGCTTCGAAAACATGAAAGCAATTCTAAGAAAGTCTACTTCTTTTGAATATCTTCCCGCATATGGCAAGGTTCTTTCTTTATGTTGTCTTTAGGGTTGGGTTGTTTCTGTATGTCACTTGCAAGGTTGCATGAACTGCTTCTAAACAATAAAAGGTTTGGATGGTGGAATATCCCAAACTATTTATATGTTCTGTTTCTTTGTGTGATTGTGTATGGTTTGCTTGTGGTCTCATATGCTTTTTGGCTATTTATTGTGGTTGTATAGGGTATGCAAGTGGTCCAAATGTTTCTTTTCTTTGTTTGTTTCTGATTGGATGCCTACAAAAGACATTCAAGCTTTTTGTTTGTTTCCTTTCCAATATGTATACCTTTACTAGGGCTGTTAATGATCCGAGTCAAGCTGAACTTTGCCATAGTTTAGACTTGGCTCGTTAAAATATGTCCAAGATCGAGATCGGCTCGAGTTTGTCACGAGCTTTAATATGCAAGCTCAAGTTTGGCTCGAGCTCGGCTTGCCAAATAAGTTTAACGAGCACAAAAGCAAGTTCAACTTTTAAAATGTTAATGATAGCTCAAGATTGAGCTAGAATTGTGCATAAAATTACATTCAAACCTATAGCAAAGTCTCTAACGAAATAAAACACAATATTTATCCCAATTTCAATACATAAAGTCCATGAATTCCAATCCTTTTTATGCCCAACCGTTAAATGAGCCTGTTCATGAACTTTCGAGCTGAACATGGTATGGCTCGATTTCGGTTTGTTTAGTTAACGAGCTTGTTCACGAGCCAACTCGATTAAGACAAATCAAGTGTCGAACAAATTTTTCTCGAGTCGGACGCCGAGTCTTCAAGAGTGGCTTGGTTCATTAACAACTCTAACCTTTATTGGCATGCCTCTAACATAGTAATATTTGTCGTATCTAAACGAGACTTTTGCTAATTTAATTTGTTTGTGTTTTCGGAATTTCTGAGGACAAATTCTGCATTATGATGGACATATAAGTATGTATATGATGATATTGGTATTTATTTGGAAGAAAAGGTTCATCATTGGGATTAGGTTGACCCTGATTTGATGTCCATCATAGAGTTGGATGGTTTTCTAACTGATGTAGGATATTTAGAGCAAGTTAAGACCAGGAATATAAAAGAGTTTCAGGTTAAAAATCAGTATGCATACCATGAAGGAAGGGCTAGTGGAGTTAAAGGGTGATACTCACTTGCTAGCTATGTGGAAAATGGTGATTGAAGGGAGAAAATTTGTGGAGATGTATCTGATCAACAAAGTGGATGTTGAAGGAAAGAAATTGACAACCAATCTGAGGGCTGATCTTGGTTGCAAGGTCAAAAATAGATGAATGAGGTGGATCTAATAGTGACAGTTGGTTCGAGGATGCTGAAAATCATTTCAATGATGATGAGTTTAATTTCGAAGACTTTGAAAGTAGTGGGGACACTCATAATATTGGTGAAGATTGTGACACAGATTGTGGAGATTTGAATGACCTAGGAAGCTGTCATTCAAGTGGCGATGAAGGTTGTCCAAGAAATAAATTCGAAGAATTTAATCTGGCAAGGGATATGGAGAATCCTCTATTTTGTCTAGGGAAAATCTACAGGGTTTTGAAGACATTCAAAGATGCTATTATCGCCTATTCAATAAAAACAAGTTCCCTTTGAAGTTCCGCCACAGTGATCCAACAAGATTTAATGTTACATGTGATAAAAATTGTGGTTGGAACATTTGGGCATCACCTACACAAAATGGGAAAAAGTTTGTCATTAAAGCTTGCCACTTGCAACATCACATATGTATTTTGCTTTCTAGCACAAATGGTTCACTTACCAGTTCATTGCCAAGAAGTATCTTATTAAATCCGAACTTGATCCTAAATGGGGTAACGACTCAATAGCACAGACGCTCGAAGAAGATTTCCACTACACAATGTCGAGGCTGAAAACAAGAAGGCTAGACAATATGTTGTCCAGTTGATAAGAGGGAAGGCTGAAGATCAATATGCTCGGCTTAATGACTATTGTGCTGAAGTTTACTGAACTCATCCGGGTTCAACTATATTCGTGGAGACAGATGAAGGTCATTTTTCCATAATGTATTGTTGTTTGGCAGCTTGTAAGGAAGAGTTTGCTGCTGGTTGTAGGAAAGTCATCTTCCTCGACGGCTGTTTCTTGAAGAAGCTTCATGGAGGACAACTTGAACTACATTGTCCAAGTACTTATTTTGCAGTTTGTAGGCTTTTGAACTCAATGTTTTGTGGCATATTGGTAACCCAGTCATGTGAGTGCGGCTTGAGCTATCTACCATGTACTTGTTTTGAGTCGAGCATATGTTGTTGTTCTATAATGTTACTTTGCTAGGGATCACAACTTTCTAAATAGGTGTATGATATTGCTTTGTTGATTTGTCATATTGTTCTGTATTGTTCTTCGACCAATGCAGATTACATATGGTATTTTAGCAATGCAGATTGTATATGGTATTTCTTATTGCAAAACAGGTTTGTAATGTCATCATAAAATCATGCATAATGCTTCTTTCTAAACGATGAACTCTGGCTAGAAATAGAATACCAAATCCATAAAAATCCATTATATTACCCTTGCGCTCCATGTATTGCATATTTCTAAACATGAAAGAAATCACAAAAATTAACGACATTATCAGTCCAAACTTCTTGCTTTCACTCAAACCAGATGCTCGGTCATTCCTCCTCTGCAAATCACGGATCTGCCTAAGTAGTGCCGAATGGTTTTCTTAACTGGTTTGTCTAGAACTGGATCCATCCATCGAAAAAAGTTGCATGCATTTGGACCTTATACATTGGATTACATAAAAATGAGTGAAAATCCTTGCAGCTTAATTTTAGCTGGGGGAGAGCTTTGCTAGAAAAATCAACGAAATCCTTACACATCAAACATACTTACCCCATAATTGTTGTATCCGTAAAATCTACGCCCGGATTAGTGTCTTTCCAAGAATGACGAAGCACAACCAGTTCACCACATTTACAAGTAAGGCCTTAAGGGGCTGCCATAGCAAAAGAAGAATAAGGTCGGGTTGTTGCTACTATTGTTAGGTGGATGCTGATGAGTTTTGGCTTGATGGGATAAGGAGGAAGAAGAAGGATAGAAGAGTTGAAGTAGGGTGGGTGGTGCCTTTAATTGGGCATGGGTTCTTCAATGCGGGAGGAAGGAGTTCAGGATAAAAATATGGGGGTGGGGGTGGGTTACAATGGAGATGAAAGTTGAGAAACTGGATTTTGGCACCAAGTTTCCTTCCAAAACCGATTCAGCAGGTAGGCCCCAGTCAACGCTGAGCTGGCATCCCCATTTTCATTGTTTACTTCGTTATTGACCTGGATGGAAAAAACAAACGGAAACACATTTCAAGGACTTGGATGAAACCTTATACCCTTTTTATAGTCAGTGGTATCCTTCCCCCAATTTGAAAATTTAGTGGCACCCGGGGTATTTCTCGCCACAAATGATGGTGAAAAAAAGAGTAAAGCTTGAGTGGGTTCATTATGTGTTGCATTAAATTTATCCGCAACCGAGTGGCTTAACGGAAACAAAATTTATGGAAATGAAACATTTATTATGAGAAGAGTAAATCGATTAAATAAGGTTTTAGTTAATAGTTATTAATACCGAATAATTTAATTGCTATAAATTTTTATTGTGTTTGCAACAAAATTATTTAGTTATCTAAGATTTAAAAAAAAACAAAATTAAATCGGTAACCAATAATATTTGGTTGGAAGAATTAGATATCATGATGCTACCACATTAATTGATAGGAAAAAGTAAAAAATATTTTGTTACCAAAATTATTTGTTTGAGAAAATTAAAAGCTATTTTATTATCAAATTATTTGGTCTTCTCTATTTTTATTTGGCTATTAATTTTTATTTTATTTTAATAGGTAACCAATTGGTTAATGTTTTAGCTACCAAAATGCAATTGATTCTAAATACTAGCCTTTTCACAACCAATTGTAGTTTGGTTGTAGAAATATTGGTTGCAAAACCTTTATTTTGTTGTAGTGTTGATCCGTTAGGCAACATAAAATTAGATGAATAAATTTGGGCTGGCAAATTTCGAATTGACTCATTTTTAGTCAATTACCGTTATCTGGGATGTGGGAGATAATTTGAATTGACTCATTTTGTAAAATGAAACAATTGATCAAATCATCTCATTTTACAATTAATTCATACAAACGATCCTTAGTTATTTTGGATGGCCAGTAGGTATTGATGAAACCAAATTTAAAGTTAATTACTAGTAAGAAAGAAAATATATTTGGACAGCAAAAGTGAAATAAATTTAAATCCGAGTGACCAGACGTATAATTGAGCTAGAAGAATTTGGATAGATATAGCCAATTTACTAATTAAAACCGCTGCCTTTACTCAATTGATCTCAGCCCCACATTTATTTATTTATGACATAAAAGTTGGCTCATCAGTAACACAGCACAGTTCTGATTTGATAGATTCCTCCGTGGCCCTGTTTCCGGGCTTTCTCTCTTTAATTCCCCGCTCTGTTCTCCTTAAATTCCCAACATGGTCTGTGAGACGACAAGAAGATCATGTGGGGTTCTTATTGTTGTCGCCGCCGCAGCCGTGGCCATGTTGGCAGCATTGTCATGTGGTGTGGGTCCAGCAAACGCGGGGGGAGGCGTGAACGGGAACGCAGGGAGGCAGAAGCGGCAGTTGAAAGCGGGGAGCGGTGGTGGAAGCAGCAGTGGGTGCAGCAATCTCAATCTGTACGAAGGGAGCTGGGTTTACGACCAGGCTTATCCTCCCTATGATTCATCTTCTTGTCCCTTCATTGGCAAAGAGTTCGATTGCTTGAAGTTCGGACGGCCGGATCGGCGGTACCTTCAGTACCGATGGCAGCCGGGCGGAGGCTGTAACTTGCCCAGGTAATAACTGTAAACATATATACTTACGTCCTACTGTCCTCTAATTTTCCGGCCCCCATTTACTTCTGTAGCGGTTTTTCTCCGATTGGAATGGGAAGCGTAGAGAATATTATTCAATCAGAAATAAAAAAACTAGCTTATTCCAAAATGTATTGGTCCCGTCCAACACGTGTGGATGGCCAAGCAAAAAAACTATATATATATAAATGTGTTGGCAATACGTACACAGATGGAAGGGGTTGTGTATGACAAGGTTGTAAAATCGGTTTAAGTCATTGAGCCGGTCAAGTAAGGGGTTTGAGATTTAATGGTCTGATCGAGATCCGATCGGTTTGAGCCATTTTAAATTTTTTTTAAATATATATACAAATAAGGTAGTAATTAAAGATTTAATGACTAAAATAAAATTTATGTTACATATATTTATTAAAAATTTATTTTTCACAAAATAAATCTACATAACCTGCATAACTCATCCAACATCTCTCTTTCTTCCTTCCCTTCCTCTCTTCTCCCTTTCTTCTTCTCTCTCTTTAAGGGTCAGATCGAGAAGTTTTCTATAGGTCGTTTTGAAACTCGATTCTGGTCAGACCGGATCCAATAGAGAGTTCAATAGGGGTTTAACAACTTTGAATTGTATGGCCATGTTTATATAAAATGTTGGGAGTGGGGTTGCTGAAGATAATTATAAAATGGGATGGGTTGTCTCTATCAGTGTGAGGTGTGTGGCACGCAATGAATGGGTCGATGGTGATGGCAGTAGGATGCCTGCCAAGCGCATCCTTTCCAATCCAAATAATAATAATAATAATAATATATAATTTTTTCCTAATCTAATTTAATATATTATATTTATTTTATTTTAAGTTGGAATTTAAAATAAATTGCTCAGAAATATCGGTTTAATCATTCTCTTCAAAATGACATTGGTTTTTATATATTTTGAAACAAAAAAAATTGGAAACATATATATCAGTCTATATCGGGTTGAGCTTGCAAAATTTTCCAGATAGTCATGAAACATTTTATTCAATAAATTTTATATTGTAATAGATTATGATGAACTCTAACTATTTGTGCAAAAAATTTCAAAATTTGGTTAAAAATGAATGTAATACAAAGTAGTAGTGAGTGATAATGAGTGGTACAAATATTTTTACCTGAAATATATCGAAAACACATATAATTTAGCCTGTCTCATCTGTGCCAATTTTTTTTGTAATTTAGATTAAAACAAAGAAGATACAAGTCGATTGAAAAAATTAGGAAAAAAATATTTTAATCTCCCCTTTAAATCTGATCCACTTAATTAACACCAATGATCCAGATTTAATTATGCACTTGTGCATGACCAAGAGTTGTGCACTCTACACTAGACCAATCATCCTGGATCTGAATCTGTATCTAAAGTACTCTCAGTTAGTCTGTTGCTCTGGTTTTGACAACCAGCTCCCATCGTACCCTTTGGTTTCTGTAGGTCAATAGCTTTGTTACTAATTACTTGTCATTAATCTACCTTTTGTTCTTACAATTTATTGACAACTATTGAAATAATAAATAATAATTATATTATCATTATTTTATGAACTTGTTGAGATATAAAGAAAGGAAGCAAGGAACTAGTTAGCAATAGTTGGCACAAACAAGTAAACAACACTCTGCAAGTGCAAACTTCATAGAAATTGTTAGAATGACGGGCTAGCTTAGCCTAGGTAGCCAGCTCTTATTAATTAATCAATAGCTGAGAGCCTGAGACTATATATTACTGCACTATTATTATTATTATTATTATTATTATTATTATTATTATTATTATCATCAGTATTATGATTGCGATGGCTGAACTAATCACATGCTTCCAGTTAAGCACCAGCCCATCTTTTCTTTTCTACTCGTTTGTTTGCCTGGGTGGGGTTGGTTGGTTTCAGCTCCATGTGTGTTTTGTCACAAAATATTTTGGTTTTATATTTTTTATAATTACATGTTTGTTTCATATTTTATAATTTTTTATCCGGTATATTTTGATTTTATTCGGGTATTAATTCAGAAAGATACTCTGATTTTGTCGGTACGATTTTCTAACAAAAAAATATTTTTTATTCTCAAAACGATATTTTACCGGTATAAAACGGCTGAACCACGGTCATACCACAAAATATCATACCATAAAAGAGTTCGGTATGACTTCCGGTACGGTTTCATGGACCATAGTTTTGTGGGGTTATCATGTGTCGTCTGTATGCTAGCTAGCTAGGGGTGAATTAAACTGATGCTTCTTTATGCCTGCAACTAATTACAAACAAATTAAATTAAAACCCAACGATATTAATTAGCTAGGCGGCTCTACAATGTGATTTGGGTGTTCTTTCTCAACTATATATTTTACATAATCATCAACTTCATAACATCCTTATTCCATTGATATGCTCGTTTTGCTCTCAATATTGATCATACACAGCCCTTTTGGTGCGTAAACAATGATGTATGTAGGTAGTTACATGGATATTAGGAGAGTGAATATCAATTATACAAAACATGGAATGCAGTGACGGAGCCAAAAACATAAACAGGGGATAAAAAATTTTACCTTTGAAGAATTTGAACAGTAAGAGCTAAAGTTGTACATACCAAATAGTCTAATTTCGTTATTTCTTACATGAAAGTTTAATAACAACTTGTGCATCCGTGCAAACCAAAACAATAACACTAAACGTAAGAGGTTAGTGCGTGGATCAAGCTTGCATCTCCGTCTTGGCGTCAATCCTTCTTATCTATCTCCTACAAGCCAAGATGTTAGCTTGGATCCTGTAGCTTTACTCTGTAATTAGTTTTAGTTGATTGTAATTAAGTAGGGTCCCATTGCATTGCAGCTTTTATAATTAAGTAGATAGCAAAATCTTTCATACTATCAAATACTTAATATTGGTATGGTTTGCTTGTGAGATTTGGCATTTGGTGATGAATTTGGCACTCAAATCCCATGCATCATGGAAATGACACAAAGTCATTGTTTGTTAAGGGACACAAATCTGTGGGGTCCACGGATTTGGACAATTTTTTAGATCCAAATTCGTGGACCCTACGAATTTGCAAATTCCACATTTCATTTGGGATTTGATTATGGATGGCAAACGCATCATCAATCCATGATAAAAGATCAACTAAACAAACAATGTACTCTTCCAAATCCATAATGCAGCAAATCCATCATTAATCCAAAGGTTTTTAAATCTGAAAACCCTCATTTTCAAATCCAACAAGCAAACATATTTTCCCTCATTAATTATTAATATATAAAAGTCAAAGTTTGTGGTTACTATTAATTAGTGGCTCTCACACTCCTCCTTACAACTGGGCAAGTTTCAAGATTCATCTTTTATTCCACTCGCTCATTCCCCAACCTTTGTGTTCATTTATTGTCCACATGATATACGTCTATTGCTCATTAGGCTTCATCTTCCATTCATCTTTCCTACTTAAATCTACATCTATGATCTTTCGCCCAAATCGCCTTGGCCCACCAATTCACCACCCATCTCGAAACAATATCGACGCAATCATAAGTTGTTCTCTTCCACCGTTTGCCACAATCGCTACCAAAGATCCATACCATATCTCAAAATATTTTCAGTGAAATCCTAGGTTGTACCCATCCACCGTGTCCCAAGACCGCTATCGAAAATTCATACCAACATGCTCTGTGTTGCGAGTTTTGTATCGAGACCGAGTTTTATATTCATTAGGGCTTTCTTATTTCTCTTTTTCTTTTGGTTAAGCATGACAATTAAACTCAAACTCATGGGTATACAACCTAATTCAATTAGGACAAAGCGACTTGAACTCGACTTTAGTAATTTTAAATTTATATTTTTCTTTTTGTTGAGAATGACAATTGAACCCAAACTTATAGTATTTACGAGTTTTATCCGCTTTTGTAGTTGGCATGTTGGGTTGAGTGTGAATTTGTTAAAAACTCGATTCGACCCGGTCAAAACGAGCTGAACACGGTGTTGACGAGTTTTGAGTCGAGACGGAGATTTGTCTATTTAATGTTATTTTATTTTTTCATTTCCTTTTTGTTGAGAATGAAAATTGAAGCAAGACTCGGTGCTGACGAGTTTTGTATCAAGAGTGAATTTTATATGCTTTTAGAATTGACATGTTGAGCCGACTATGAATTGTTAAAAACTCGGTTCGAACCAGTGAAGGCGAGTTGAACTTGGTGTGTAGAGTTTTTGGTGGGGAACGAGTTTTATCCGCTTTAGTGTTTTTAATTTATCTTTTTCCTTTTGGTTGAGAACCCAAACCTATGGGTATTCAACCTAATTTAAATTGATAAAAATGACTTGACCCGTTGTTGCAAGCTTTCAGGAAGGAGTGAGTTTTGTTTGCTTTGTAATTGGCGGGTCGAGTTGGTTGTGAATTTGTTACATACTCCGTTCAACTAGATCAAAGAGAGTTGAACATGATGTTGCCGAGTTTTGGGTCGTGATCGAGTTTTATCCACTTTAGTGTTTGTTAATTTCTCGGGCGGGTGTGAGTTTTATACACTTTTTAATTGTCTGGTAGGGTCAGTTGTGAATTTGTTATTAACTCGGTTCAACCAGATCAAAGAGAATTGAACATGAGGTTGTCGAGTTTTGGGTTATGAGCCGATATTATCCGCTTTATTGTCTCTTTTTCTTTTTGGTTGAGACTGAATCTGGAAAAAAAAGCAAAAAGAATACAAACTAATCAATAATGTGACGAGAAATACTTAACATGGAAATCATTTGTTCGACGACCTTTCTCGCTTATTAAAGTTCATAGTTGCGTCAACTACATAAAGTTGTAGATGACAAGCCCTTTACTTTTGGATCAAAATTCAAATTATTAATCTTTAAAATATCAAGTTCTCGGTCACAGTCGAAGCGATAGCGAACGGGCTTAGACTAGTAAATAGTAATTTACTCATAATTGTATTTGGTCACTCGGATTGAAAATTAAGAGGAAAACACATTTAAAAGACGTTATACAAATACATAAAAAAAAAAAGTAAATTTACTAACACATGTTACTTTGAGATTCATCAGACCTTGGTCGATAACTGTAGTAATGTACGTAGTATAATGTAATGTAATAAAGTGGGAGTGACATGTTAATTGTATTATATGAATGGTAATTAATAAGAATGAGAATCTCGGGGGGTGCAGATTTGAGGGTGAGAAGTTTCTGAGGAGGATGGAGGGGAAGAAGATGATGTTTGTAGGGGACTCGTTGAGTATGAATCAGTATGAGTCTCTGTTGTGCCTGCTCCACGCAGCTGTCTCCAATTCCAACATCACCCGTCAATCCCAACCATACCTTTCTACCGCAACTTTCCAGGTATGCGCGCGCCTCTCTATATATGTTACGTTACGTGATTGGCAAAGTGGCAACTGCAAGAAAATTGCAAGCGGGAGCATGACAACCCATTAATTAATTTTATATATATTGCTTTTCTGCATGCAGGACTATGGGGTGTCAATTATGTTGTTCACGAGTCACTACTTGGTTGATATAGAGGAGCAAGAGATTGGGCGGGTGTTGAAGCTCCATTCCATTAGCGACGCCACCAGTAGGCTGTGGAGGCAGATGGACTTTCTGGTCTTCAACACCTGGGCCTGGTGGTACAGAACCGGACCTGAAAAGGGGTATGTATATGCACATGCACATGCACTGCATCTATCTATCTATCTATCTATCTGTTTTTGTGATATATATGTCATGGTCTCAGATGGGATTATGTTCAAGATGGTGAAACCATATCTGAGGACATGGATCGAATGCTTGCTTTCAAGAGAGCTTTAACAACCTGGGCCAAATGGGTAGAGGCAAATGTGAATGCAGCGAAAACAACCGTCTTTTTCCAAGGAGCTTCTCCTTCTCATTACAAGTAAGTAAGAAGCAATACTCCCTACCCTAGCTAGGCTATGTATATACAACATGGCTTGCTTGCTTGTCATTTACGATTTTGTACGTGAAAGCAGCGGCACAGAGTGGGGAAAGCCAGGATTGAGAGACTGCTCTCATGAGACAGATCCAGTACTGCCACCGGATGCTTCAAACCTCGCTGTTGGTGGAGCCGTCTCCTTGGCGTTACAAGCACAACAAGACGCAATCAAATCCATCCACCATCCAATCTTGTTCCTCAACATAACTGGGCTTTCACATCTCAGAAAAGATGGCCACCCATCTTCCCACAGTGGGCTTGCCAGGCTGGATTGCACCCATTGGTGTATAGCAGGAGTCCCCGATGCTTGGAACCAACTTCTCTACACAACTATTCTAGATCAACCTTTCACACATGCACCATTCTTTTAGCTAGCTAGCTCAGATGTCACTACAAATTCAATTCATCTTGGCCTCATTAATAATTACTATATTTCAATTATTTTGAATTTAGACTGACTAGCTGGCCTGCCCATAAATAATAATAAAATAATAAAAGGCTAAGCAATGCTGTTTCAGACGGCGATCATGAACTCATAGATAGCCTGATTTCAAAGAGGCAAACATGAATTAATTAGTCTAGCAAATGTATGCATATTGTGGTCCAGAGCTAGGAAAAACTGTTGAAGTTAATGTATTCTGTACGTAATTAACCATGAATGATTGTAAGGTTAATTATTATTGTACCCTTTTGTCTAGTGTTTAAGTCGGTTAGTGGATGAAGGGCGAGTTACCCGAGTTGTCCTCTAAGAGTGTTCTTTCGGCTTGAAGCTAATATATATAGCGACTCTGAGAGGCAATCTCTCCATGGACTAATCTTAGTGATACTCGCTCGGCAAATGTTTTCCAGGGGAAAAACTTGCATTGAATTGAAAATATTATTCACCTTTAACTTCTTTCCACAATGATTAAATGATTAACTTAACACAATTCACACATTTTCAAACAAAGTTCGAACCAGTGTATTCGATGTTTACACCACTCACGAGACGGATCTACATTAAATTAGCCCTATTCCTACGGAAGTTCAGTGAGAGCTCCAAATCTACAACTATGGCTCAAAAGTTTGATGAAAATCCAAAATCCGAGTTCTATCGTAATTATCATAGTTACTATAATTAGGATATTAGATATGGTTAGTAGTTATTGAGTCATATTATGATAATCTATTAGGTTTTTCTAGTTTTTCGCTATAAATATGTAATTGGTCCTTCATTCATAATAAGTCAAGAAGAATATAAATAAAACTCTCCTAAACCCTAATCTCCCAACTCTCTCAATTCTAGATCTCAATCCCTCTAAAGGCCTAGGCCGATTCTCTATCTTTCTTTTCTCAAATCCCTAATTCTGTTCTTAATCACTAAATCCCAATCTCATGACCAGACCCGATAGAACCCTAATCCCAGGTTCTATCATTTGGTATCAGAGCCAACATGAGCTCGTCAAAGCTCTCTGATCCAAAATGGGCTCAACTCAAACAACAGCTTCAGCAATCACTCGACGCGCTCGATCAAGAGGCGTATGAGCAGGGGTGGGTGATGGCGGCGGCCGAAGGCGCTGCTGCAGGGGCGCGCCTTACGACTGAGGCAAGAGGGGTGGCGGCGCAGGCGCGTCGCGCAGAGGGGGTCGCGCCGCGGGGCAAGGCGGCGCAGCCCGAGGCAGAGGAGGCGACCGAGGGCACCGACATGGGGGAGCGCGTTGCGACGGTGAGGGCAGGTGAGGCGGTGGTCTCCACACCATGGGTGGAATGTGTTCTGCTTGTGGCCGCTAGGAGAGGAAGTGGCAGAGGAGGTCTGCTGGAGGATGAAAACCCAAAATCCGGGTTCTATCATAATTATCATAGTTACAATAATTAGGATATTATTAGATATAGTTAGTAGTTACTGAGTCATATTAGGATAGTCTATTAGGTTTTTCTAGTCTTTCCCTATAAATATGTAATTTGTCCTTGATTCATAATCAGTCAAGAAGAATATTAAGAAAACTCTCCTAAACCCTAATCTCCCAACTCTCTCAATTCTAGATCTCAATCCCTCTAAAGGCCTAGGCCGATTCTCTATATTTCTCTTCTCAAATTCCTAATTCTGTTCTTAATCACTAAATCCCAATCTCACGACCACACCCGATAGAACCCTAATCCCAGGTTCTATCAAAGTTGCAGATGAAAGATAAAAATGATAAAAACTTGTCGAGTGGTGTAGAGTAGTAATTTTTGCCCAACCTTTCTATGTCAACTCCTCCTCCTGTTTATATCCATGGGGTAGTAACCGTCATAGACAATCGTCTCGAGAGTAATTTCCCAAAAGAACTGCTTCCCTCCTTCCTCAGACGAGGTTGACGTGTCTTTAAACGTGGAATAATCGATAGTTGCTCCATTAACCTCTCTCTCTCTCTCTCTCTCTCTCTCTCTCTCTCTCTCTCTCTCTCTCTCTCTTTTGGAACTGAAATCTTGGTGCTTGCGTCCCTTCTACCATGACCGACAGTGTTAGATATCACGACTAAGGAACTCAAGTTCTCACGACCAATGTGGTCTAATATAGATCTCAAACCGAAGGCCTTCTAAATCTTGCGATCAACTTAGCCTAAATCACACGACCAACGTGGTCTAGATTATATTCAAACCGAAGGTGGTATAGATCTCGCGATCAAAGGGGTCTAGATTTGGGAGGAAGGTCGTCTTAATCTCACGACCAAAGCCGTCTAGATCTCACAACCAACCAGGCTTAGTCTTATCTCGTGGCTTCCTTCTTCCCGGTGGCTTGTCATCTCGTGTCCCTTTCACCATGTAGCTTGCTCTCTCGCATCCGACTCGTTGGTTTAGATCTTGGACATGGTCTAATTCTCACGACAACCTCGCAACAAAGACTGTGTAGACCTAGATCTGGCGATGAAAGCCATCTAGACATCGCAACCAAGGAGGTCTAGATTGACGAGGAAGATCGTCTAGATTTCGCGACCAATGAGACCTAGATTTTCTAGGAAGGTCGTCTAGATCTCGCGACCAAAAAGGTCTAGAGCATACTTAGTCAATTTCACAGAATCCTTGAAACTCCTTGCGACAATGCCCACTTGCGACCATCATGGTCTGAATTCGCGACCAATGTGGTCTAGATATAGATCTCAAAATGGAGGTTGTCTAAATCTCGCGACCAAGCCCTTCTAGGAGTTAGCTTCTCGCAACGGAATTAGTGCCCTCTTAAAGACTACGTCGATTGGCCTTAAAAATCCAGTACCATGAGACCCATTTTCAATAACATTGGTTGCTATAATTAATATGGCTTTATAAAGACAATTAATAACTTGTAAATAATCAATGTGGTACAAGATTTAATTTTAGGCATGAACAAATGCCCCATGATGACTACATATTTACACATGTTTTACCCCCCCCCCCCCCCCGTTTCTTGATTGTTTAGCTTGGTTTTATCATACTTTGGCCTATTTTATGCTAGGTTATGTTCCTTTGTCACATTTCAAGTCCTAGCACGTAAAGTGAAGCATAGACGCAAGTTTCAAGTAAATCGAAGATCAATTGGTGACTTGGGGGAAGAAACTCGGGCATGAAAAGAAAGAGGACGAGACTACGAGAGTCTGGGATCAAATGGCGACTGATTCGGAGTTTGGATGAGGGAAAAAGGACCTAAAAACAGTTGCCTACTATAAAGTTACGGGCCAACCTTCAAAGTTACAGCCCAACCCATAAGTTTGCCATTTTTGGCCGTAACTCGGGCGATGGAAGGCATAACGCATTCCATAGGTTATGGCCTGAACCCCAAAGGTTACGACCGTAACTTGAGACTATAACTTTGCCTATGGGAGCTATTTAAATGAGTTTTTGCGGCTATTGAAGGGGGAGAGCTGAGTTTTTTTATCCCAAACACTCAAGGAAAAATGAAAACAAACTTTGAATCATTCAACTCTAAAATTAATCCTTCGAATCCGCCCCCCTTAACCTTGTGTTCACACTTGTTATTCCATTCACACCTTGTGTTCACACATAGGTACTCCTTCTAGAACAGATCCTTTACTCCTTCCAAGCCCTTCTTCACATGATTTTGGTCCATGAATTGCAAAAATGTCATGGGCTTCCAAGCCCAAATACCTTGGAGCTTGATCTTCCATACACCCGAATCTTGCTTATCTTTCCTTAGGCGCCTCACCTACACACACGCACACAGAGGGGGGCACACGGGCCCGTTAATCCTCTGACGATCAAGTTAGTCCGAATTCTAAAGAGAAGTGTCTCACTCTAGCTTTTAGTAAGAGAGTTCAACCTGCATAAATGCTACCTACCAGCACTATTTATACTCACTCTACTCTGGACCGGGCTCCTTCATTCTAGCCCCACGTCTGCATCACATTTAATGTTCTGAACTTCTGTCAGATTAGGCGCCCTGACCAGCGTGTCAGTCTTTCTGACAAGTGCTAGGCGCCTCGTGGGGGACCATTGACAATCCGTACTTTTTTGAAGCCTAACGAGTTTTGTCTTAAAGCGCCCCTATTTCCCGTTTGGACCCATCCCAATGGGCTTACCTATGGGCTTATTTTATGATGATGCCCCTCTCTTCCCTAAGGGGTTGTATTGGGCCATTATTTGGGCATATCCCTTTGTAACACCCCTAACACTTATCATCATTGAGATTAAAATGCTTAATCATCTTGGATTAGCTTTCTTATTAATATGTATCTTTACTTTCTTGTCATTTAAATTATGTTTTACTTTGTGATGCATCTTGAAAAACACTGATCATAGAAAACCTCAACCCGCCGATTTCTTTTCAATCATTGTTTGAGCATTAGATGATTAATTGGGTTGAGTAACTACTATTAGAAAGCCTTGTGGAATACGAACTAGACATTTTTATGATTTTTATAACTTTTATTACATTTAATTTGCATTAATATTACTACACGGCATTACTATCACTCTAATTTTGTAATAACTGGAGATGGGTGAAGACAAATAATTGGATCAATACTCAAAAAGCCTCCCAAGTCAGCCTAGATTGGATGGATCTCTTGTAGTATAGAGGTTGGGGCATAGCCTTCTAGACCAGATTTCATCAAACTGGACTTGATGAGCTCTTCGCGATCTGGCCCAAGGGCATTGAACTCCTCATTAGAGATTTCCTTACCTCTTTCTATCTCCATGATGTTTCCTCCTTCACCATATATTAGGAGGTCAAGAGTTCACCGATATGTATGGCAGTTTCTTCGAGATGATGGTTTCCCCTCTCATGAAACACTATTTGAGTGGCTATTCAAGAAGGTTGACGGGAAGAATAAACCTATATAGCTCCCTAGTGGTGACTATGTTCTTACCATGACTAAGATTCATCAACAACCCGGTTCGTACCTAAGACCTAACTATAAAAACAAATCTATCACCCTCATAAAAAAAGTCTAATGGTCAACAAAATATTTGAGGCATTATTGACATCTTGCCTTAATAGTTATTTTTCGGCGAGAAAAATTGCGTTGAAATCAAATCGATTGCACCTTCACTTCTTCAGACAGTAATTAACTTAACATGGTTCACACCTCTTCAAACAAAGTTCGAACAAGGGTGTTTGATGTTTACATCACTCACGAGACAAATCTACACTAAATTAGCCCTACTCCTATGGAGTTCAGTGAGAGCTCTAGATCTATGACTATGGCATAAAGTTCCAAAGGAATGATAAAAGATAAATGCAAAATACACTTCCACAGCCACAATTTTCACGTTTGGGACAAATATAGCCAAAACTTCCGGAAAGCACAAAATAGCCACTTTCATCCATCCCTTTAATGATGTCAATTAACGGTTTGACTAGACTGACGGAAAATGTTGAGTTGGCGATATTTTGTCAATAATAATATGAGGTAGAATTAAATGGAAAAATAAACAATTTTTTATATTTCTCTTGCCCCTCTCTCTTCTTTCTTATTCCGTCACAAACGATGTTTCCCCTCTCTTCTCAATTTCTTTTCCATTTTCCATCAGATTGCAATATCGTCGGATTTATGTTGGCGAGGAAGTCCGCTTCGATTGTTGGAAGGGACGACGCCTACGGTTAATTTGTAGCAGCGCAGATGGGGAAATCCACGGATATTGGTGATATGGGTTGGTGACAAATCGATGGAGTAGGCGCAGCAGATCTGTAGGAGCAACGATAAGGTCTGATTGATGACGACAGGGGCAACATGCGTTAGCAATGCTTCGTTCTCTTTTCTCAACCATGTTTTCTCCGTCCAGATCCCGCAGCAACAACAAGACGTCGACCATAGTCGAGTTGTGGAACCGTCTCCACTGATTATGATTCTCCTCTGCTTTTAGTTCTCCTTATCTTGCTCGCGTTGGTGGCATTTAGCAGGGGAAGAGGCAATTTCTTCCCAAGGGTGAAGTGAAGGAGATGCCTTTTCATCTCTTTTTTTTTTAAATACTTATATGATTTTTTGGTTTTTTGTGTAAGTGAACTTTACAGATCTAGGAGGGGAGAGGGGAAGGATAAATTATTTAACCGATTAATTAATTAATTTCTAAATTAAAATATGATATGACACCTATGTGACAAGTGTGGTTGAGTTGTCTCTGACGTGTGCGATGATTTGGCATCCTAGTCAGTCTAACGTTAACTTAACTGACGGAGTGTCTACCATAGTTGAAGTTTGTAACGAAAATGGCTAGATTTGTCATACAACATTCAAAATTTTGGCTATTTTGTGTTTTTCGATAGTTATGGCTATATTTCTCACAAACGTAAAAATTGTGGTTATAGGAGTGTCTTTTGCCAAAGATAAAAGTTGACATTGGGTTGTTTGGTGTGGAAATTGCCACCCTCTTCTCTGTCAACTCCTCATCCTATTTGTAGCCTAAGGGTTGTAACCGTAGTAGAAAATTTGTATGAAGAGTAATTTCCAAAAAGAACTACTTCCCTTCTTCCACAGATGTGGCTGGCGTGTCCTTCAATGTGGATTAATCGACAGTTGCCCATTTAACCGCATGCTCTCTCTTTTACACCTAACGTCATGTTACGTTGCCTCCCCTTTACCATGACCATTCCAGATCTCACGAGGAGGGTCTTCTAAATCTCTCGGCCACCGAGGTCTACCAAACTCCACGTGGCCATGCTCACTCGCGACCATCTTGGTTTGATCTCTTCCTCGCGACTGACGCTCTAGATTTGATCTCGCGACCATCAATGTCTATCTCACTACAGTCCGAGATGACAACCAAAGAGGGATTTAACTCCCTCGTAGCTTTCCTTCTCACGTCCAAGTCATTGGTTTAGATCTCAGACGTGGTCTAGATCTCACGACCAACATGATATAGCGGACTCCCGACGAATGTAGTCTAGAAGACTCACGACCAACGTGGTCTCGCAGACTTATAGCGAACGCGGTCTAGATCTCGTGACCAACGCGATCTACCAAACTCGCGACGAATGTCGTCTAGCGAACTCGCGGAAAACGCGGTCTACCAAACTCGCGACAAGGCCGTCTACCAGACTTAGTCTATTTCCACGCCGCATGTCAGACTTAGTCGTTTGGACTTAAAAATCTAGTACCATGAGGCCGAGTTTGAATAACATTAATTATTATTGTTGATCTGGTCTTAGAAGGATAGTTAATGCTTTGCAAATAAACAACTTGTTACAATATTATTTTTAGATATAACAAATACCCCCAAACTACTTAGTGCATAAAGCTAAAACATGCCGCCTCTTTACTTAGACAAATTTTGACTATCATTTAAAGCTAACTCGACGAGATGGAACTTGCATTCAAAGCTTGTCCCATGCCTTTGCCAAATTTTGGCTTTCAATGATCAAGCCAATACAGCCAAATGAAACTCGTCGTCAAAGCTTGTCTCATGCCTTATACAAAATTTGGCTTTAACTTATATTGTCATGCCATCACTTTTCTTTTCATACTTACGATAGAAAAGTCACAAGTTTTAACTAACCTCTCTTGTTACTAATGTGAGCTTTGTGAATTTGCCACTATGCGGCGTATAACCATTAATTTGACTTTATGGCAAAGTCACAACTCAACCAAATTTGGCTTTAGTAAATAAATAAAAATGACAATTTTTCCTTCACCTTCGCCTTTGGCATGGATAGAAGACAGCCACTCTCTCATGCCGACATGTAGGTTAAATTTAAAGAGAAGGCCGCTCAAAGCTAGACTTTGGCTTCCTCTTTCCACCCTGTATTGTGGCTTTATTTTATCGTTTCCCATACTAACTCCAAGATCGCATACTCGCGGGTCTCTCTCTCCGCCTCGTTCTGGTGATTTTAACTCAAAAGGAATTATCTTATTCCTTGCCTTGCTTAGCTTGGAAAAGGACTCAAATTCTCCCTCTCCTATTAGTCGTGACCTCCTCACTATACAAGGAAAGTTGTCAAGCTTTGCTCAATCCGCGCTGTGACAAAGCAGCAGGAGAAGGCATGAGTTGGAAATAAAAGCTCCTTGTCTTCTATTACTTGGTCACGAGGTTGAGTGAAAAACTTAGAATTTTTTCGCACATATTTTAACACGGAGCTGCTCATCTCACCTCGTCACAAGGCTAAGTAGCTCACTCGCGGCAACTCAAGCCGTCTACATTTTTCCTTAGAAAAAATAATGTTCTTTTTTATCTTGCTAGAGACATTATGGTCACCAGTCCTCTACTACCACATTTCAAGCCATAATGCCCGCCAGATCGTGGCTACTCGGGACAAGACAACATTGCATGGCATGGTGATAGAAACAAGATTTCTATCGGATTTGATATTTGGGGATTAGGATTTATACGAACAGAATTAGGGATTAGGATAGGGAATTAGGGAAGGAAGAACAGAATAAGAATCAGCCGAAACTTTAGACTAGGGAAGAAGAGAAATTAGGAGGTAGGGAAAGCTTAGGGTTTAAGAAGATAATTCTTTTACTGATTTCTGCTTAATTGAACAAAATACCAAACGTGCATATTTATAGCTAAAGGACCGGAAAACCTAATAGACTATCCTAATATGACTCAATGACTACTACCATATCTAATAATATCCTAATTATAGTAATAATAATAATTATGATAAATCTCAAGAATTGGGTTTCTATCATCCCCTCCCCCTTAAGACCAACCTTGCCCTCAAGGTTGATCGACTCGACCCATTTCTTCACATCTCCCGCGCAATCCGCGCTTTGTCTCCTCCACTCCTTGCACTTTCTTTTCTTCCAATCATGCTCCATATCTTCAATTGGGCTTCTTGCTTCTCTTTCTCCACATGCTTGTTGCTCAAGCTCTTCTGAAAGCCCACCAATCAAGCCCTTAAATCCATATCCTTTTTCATCTTAGCCCATCTTTGTGAAAACGCAATCTCTATTGGGATCAATCACCACTTGCAGACGCGGCCCGAGGTGTTCAAACATTGGCCCAAACTCTTACATAAGCCATTACCAAGAATGCAGCCCAATTTTATGATTGAAGCCCACTGCATTTCCTATTGTCTCCAGGTTCTTCTGCGCCCATTGGGCATGAAGGAGTTTCTCCCACCTCGTCAGCTTGTACCAACGGCCCACCCCGTTTGGCTTCTCAAAACACTTAACCCAAATCTCTTTCGGCCCAAAACTTAGCCCGATGTGGATGGAAGCCAATCCAACCGTGCAACCCACCAAAAATGGATATTGGTTGGCCTTCCCTAGGAATTGCGACCCATGGTTTCCGAAAGGAGAGGCAGCGCCGCCGTCCTCCCCTTCCTTTGCAAACTCCTTCTTCACCTCATTCTCTGTCGTCGATCTCGGCGATACGTGCCACCGGCGCGCCCGCTAATCGATCGTCTCGGTCCGTCGCGCCCCGCCGCGCTCGCCTACCTCCTTCGCCCGCACCGGCTCGCCGTCATCCTCCATGGGCAGCGGCGACTCACTCCGCCGCACCATTGCTGCAGCCACTACCCCGCGATCGCCCTCTATCATCGGCAACCTCGGCCCGCCGTCCTCCTGCATCATCGACGTCTCGTCGGCAACCGCCACGACCCGCGGCGCCTCCACCCTCGCCCGCCTGGCCCGCGCCTCGGGCAGCCCTGCCGTGCCGCGCGCCGCCACTACCTCCTACGTCTTCCCCTTCCTTGTTGCACCGCTTGCGGTCGTTGTCTCCTTTTGAGGCAACGAGCAGACCACCAGCAGCTACGATGTCCGCCGAGTTCCTTTCCCGCCCTTGACTCCTCGTCATCCAGCCTTAGCTCCGACTTTGGTTCCTTTTCCACAGTCAATGCGGCCCTGAGAGAAGCCTCGCCGCCGGCCTCCAAAGCTCCACCGAGCTCCCCGCCTTACTCGCCTGCCGCCGCGCCCTCCCGCCGGGCCCTCCCGCCGCGTCGTTGCTGGCGTCGCGCCTGCCCCCGCGGTCGGGTCGTCTTCCGCCGTGCCGCATCAGCCCACCCACGTTCATGTGCCTCGCGTTTGAGCTCGTCTAGCGTGTACTCTATCTGTTGTCGTACGCGGTCCCATGACGGATCGGAGAGCCTTGATGAGCTCATGTTGGCTCTGATACCAAATGATAGAAACAAGATTTCTATCGGCTTTGATATTTGGGGATTAGGGTTTATACGAACAGAATTAGGGATTAGGTTAGGGAATTAGGGAATTAAGAACAGAATAAGAATCAACCGGAGCTTTAGACTAGGGAAGAAGAGAAATTAGGAGGTAGGGAAAGCTTGGTGGCAAGATGTATGACTCGACATGGCAAACCATCACAATGACTTGGTGGCAAGATCTTCATATCGAAGTCTTACAACTCCGACTCAAGATTTTCACTTTGATATTTTCTCTCTATCTTATCTTTAATCCATGGTTGGCTACAATTTTATTTCTATATATAATAAGTACATTATATAAATTTATTTATTTTATATGGCAAGAATTGACAGACGTTATTGCTCTCCATAGCCTTTGGCAACAACCAATGCGCCAAAGGTGTACACCCACTGCTCAGTCCATGGATCAAACCATGCAAGTCATCCATAGACCACAAGACTCCTTACTTCCCTGGGAGATGACTCTCCATATCTTGGTTTTGAACTTTTCATCTTACTAGTGGATTGTACATGGTTGACATGACTTGTCTTGGTGGCCTTGTCTGAGGTCTCATGCTTCTTTGCTGGGGCCACCTTACTTGACTGCCTTGGTTGCTTCCTAGTTAAGATATGTCTACTCTTGTCATGTTGTTGGAGTCAATGCCTAGACTTGAAAAGTCGGCTACCACTCATGTGGCCCATTTGACTATGTTTCAACATATGAACATTGTTAGCCTCTACACTTAGCACACAACTACAATTGGTTGTTTGTTCATCCTTTGTGGTTGGTGATAGTACTTACTAATCATGGACATGGACTTTCCCCCCGTCCACTCTTGGCCATGCTACTATACTTACGTAAGCCATGAGTGGGTTGGGCATGTGGTGTCTTATTGGACATGCCTGCTACTCTATTTGTCATGGTAGATGTGGATGACATGCCCACTTTTCCGGACTAAGCCAAACTAGTATGCTTATCACTTACATGTGTGGCTTGGACTTCATATGGCCTCTTGGTCATGCCTTGTCCATACTTAGCCATATGAGTATATTTATCACAAGGACATGTGGCTTGTGAATCATGTGGTGACTCGCCACGGACTACACCACGAATTATAATCCCAACTAGAGCCCAAGTATAAACTCTATTCGGGTGCAGTATAGGACAAATATGTTTTAATTGTCAAACTCAGACTAGTCCCCATACCCCTACTTCAATTGATTAAGTTGTTATCTAGCAAAAGGTTTTGGGTTTAAGAAACTAAGTAAACTACAAAATAAACAAACAAATAAAGTAAATCGATGTTGTCCCAATAAGAGAAGAATTCACCCGATTATTGCTCCCCTAAGTCTCGTATTAAGAAACAATGAACGAGAATCTTGTGTGAAGGATGTACTTATAAACCGCGAGGCCCCTGCAGCAAGCTAGAAAACCCTAACTCTCCTAGTCGGCCAATTAAGGATAGCAAAAATAAGCTAGGTGGCCTAACTCTCTTAGCCATTCGATTAAGGATTGCAACTATAAGCTAGGAAATCAAGCCCTCTTAACCAATTAACCAAGGATTGCAAGAACCAATCCCCGGAAATTAATCCGGATGGTGGATAGCGACCAATCATGATGGAATCATGGCACTTATCTGATATTTGAGGTTTTCCCTAATTTGGCCTAAGTAGGTGGATTAATTGGCCAAGGAATCCCAACTTATAAAGCCTCTTCGCAAAAAGGGGATTTCCCTCAACTTAGGTCAAACTGGCATTATAATGAGTTAAATCTAGCAACACTCAATCATTCATGAATAATACCTAAAATATTATATAAAAACATTCAATCAACACACATAGAGTAATGTTCTTACATCCTAACACACATCTAGACTAGGGTTCACCATACCCAAGTGAAGAGGGAGCACTACCCCATAGCTAGGGAAGGGAAAACAACAAAGATGAAAGAAAGAACCATGGTGGATGCTTGTCTTCCCTCCTTGTTGGTAAGAACTCCCTTGAGATGTAAGAATCTTCACTCCTCTAGCTTGAAGCAAGACTAATTCTATTCTTCTTGGTTTGGTTCTTCCTTTCTCTCTCTTAACAAAACGAAGAAGATCTCTTTCTCTATCTATAATTCTTTCTCTTTTTTTAGAGTTTTTCAGCTAGAACCCTAGAAGGGAACCCAGAAAATGTGAAACTTAGCCAAGATCCAACCTCCTCTTTTCTCTCCCAACTACCTTCTATTTATACAACCTGACAGTCACTTTCACAGTTTGCACTTCACGGCCATGATATTGAATCACAAACTATGACATCGGACAAAAACGCGAGTCTGCTGCCATTTCTGTCCAACATCACTGTCTCTTGGAAATTATCATGGTCGGACGATCGCGATGTCGTTAAGGCCCACGAGGCGCTTGAAACCCTCTGTTTCCACCAATCTTCACGCCCGTCATGCAATTGTCATGGTCACCTATGGACCTTTCTTCACTTTTTGGCACTTTTCGACCTCCAATCGTCCCAAAACTCGTCCTCGACCTTCCCACATGTGCTAGGACCTGAAATATGACAAAAGAAGCACAACCTAGTGTAAAATAGGTTGAGGGGAGATGAAATGCAAAGGTAAACTATCAAGAAATGATGGGTAAAATATGTGTAATTAGCCCCGAATCATGTGGTCTCTTGGTCACCACATTAGAGTTCACCTTATGATGTGGTGTTGTGTCCGACACCAGTTTGAAGCATGGCAACTCAATTTTGGAGAAGTCTATGTTAACCATGTTGATGTCCAATACATTGCGGAATGGATCCTTGTCCACCAACATGACATCCTTTACTGACTTAGTAAACTTGATGTGTCCCTTCTCAATAGCATCTTGCAAAACATTATGAAAAACCACACAAGGATTAGTGGCATGTGACATGCTATTATACCACCTACAATAATTTTTTCCCTTCAACTTCTCATGTAGGGGAAAGACATCCCCCTTGTCAACTTGACTTGACCATCCTTATATAGTTGGTCAAAAATCAAGTCTGCTTTCGAGACACGCAAGAAGTATTCCTCGGCTAAATAGGCGCGCGGTAGGGTCTTCTCCCTTGCGACCCATCTTTAACTTTAGATCAGGAAGCACACACGCATGGCTTTTCTAGATTTATCTCCGCCAAGTCTTTCTCAACCTCATTGGCCTCATGACCAACATGATTGATTGTATAGTCTAAGCTTGGGAAGTATGATCCTCTTGAGGCACTCTTAAGATTCTCTTCCTCGTGTGGAAGACACACATATCTCATGGCACAAGACAGAGTTAAAACAAATCATAAAACTCCCTATCTTGGAAGGTGTTCCTTAGTTCAAAACTCAAACCCCCTTGTGCCAGCTTGATGAACTCCCTCTCTGTCAAATTGACAAAGCAACGGTTAAGAACATTATTGAAGTTAGTCAAGAAATGCTACAGCGATTCCTCTGGTTGTTGGTGCATATGTGCCAAGTCAGCCATGGACACCTCGGGCTCATATCTATAACATTGAGAATGGAAGACTTGCTCCATCTATTGCCACATCTGGGTAGAGTTAGACGACAAGGTAACGTACCAAGCAAAGGCTGGCCCTATTAAAGAGTTGCCGAACAATCTTAACTTAACAAATTCTCCTACTGGTCTACTTAGAATCTGACAGAATTGATCCATTACAATTTTATTTTTGTTAACTACTTCAAGCAATTGACTCAAACGTCTATCCATGCAAGAATTGGGACAATCAATTTGAGAATTTACCTGATGAGTACCAGTCCTAGCCTCTTCCATCATACGACGGTTCTCCATCAACATTTGGGAGTTCTCGTCTGTGGCTTGACGGTTCTCTGCCATCATCTTGCGGTTCTCCTCCATCATCTGACGAAGGGCCTCCACTGCTTCACCAAGATTTCCACTATGTGTGGTCGGCACAAAGATCTCCACTCCACCATTGCCTCCAGCTACCGATGCTTGGCCATGTTCAATGTTGGCTACCTGCTCCTCCACAAAACCAGCCGGAACGTCACCTTCTTGATTCCCCCACCTCAGAGCCACCGAATCGACCACAAGTGTCCCACCGGGTGTGCCAATTAGTTTTCTGGCGAGAAAATTTGAGTTGAAAACGAATTGATTGCACCTTAACTTTTTCGGACAATGATTAAATTAACACGGTTCACACCTGTTCGACAAACTTCGAATGAAGGTGTTCGATGTTTACACGACTTACGAAAGAAATTTACTCCTATGGAGGTTCAATGAGAGCTCCAGATCTATGATTAAGGCTAAAAGTATTAGATGAAAGTTAAAAAGATAAAAGTTGACCTTTGGGTTCCCTTCTTTCACGGACATGTCGGACTCGCGGCGAACGCAGTCTACCAAACTTGCAACAAGGGCCTCTACCATACTTAGTCTATTTCCACGCGACATGTCAGATTTAGTCGTTTGGGCTTAAAAATCTAGTACCATGAGGCTCCGTTTAAATAACATTAATTGTTATAATTGATGTGGCCTTATAAAGACAGTTTTTTATTATTATCCAGGAACCTCAGCCCCACGTGCCAATTTGTGACAGCAGATCCTACTAAACCTGGGGGTCACTTGCAATGCCTTATAAAGACAGTTAATGCCTTGTAAATAATCAATGTGATAAAAAAAAACTTATTTTTAGGTGTAAATTGTCATTTTGAAAACTTAGATATAGACCCATTATTAGTCATTGGCAATTTTTATTTATTTTCTAAAAAAATCACCTAACGGCAACTTGCATACAAATTATGGCACGCTGGATAATTATTACCACGAACCTGCGATGAGAAAGTTTTAGCCATTTTTCTAAAATAAGAACGTACTACCATAAGAATAATAAATTAAAAAAAGAAAGAAAAGGAAAAGGCAGGCTCAAGTGAGCCAAAAAAATGAAATAGGGTAAGCAATTAAATGAGAAAAATATATTCCCATAGTCACTCACGAGTAGTCCCTTATCCTAAAACTTGCAGAATTCCTATATAAATGTTGAAATGGTGGTGGAGAAATTTTATTGTTTTGATAGTACCCAAACGAGAAAGGATGATGTGGCAAACGAGAAAGGTGACTAGAGCGTTAACTTAATGACGTGTTAATTTATTAAATCTAAAAATTAAAGAATGGATGATGTGGCAACTAAAAATAATAAAATAACCTTTATATTTTCCATCTTGCACCTCTCCCCTTTTCTTTCTTCATCTTTTTCCTCTTCCCTGGCCCGTCCATGTTCTCCAAGCAAGCAGCAAGCAAGCCACCCAATTCCAGTTTTCGTTCCGATTTTCATCTCGTTCTCCGGCGCCACATACCTTTGCGAGGGATTCTTCTCGATTGCGTCGCCATGGACAATCTGCACGACGCGATAGATCTTCTCCTGTTGGAATTAGAGATTCATGGTGCGACGATGGTGGTGAATTGCAGATCTACACCTACAATGTCAATATGCCGGTGGTGTGAGATTGGATGGAAGGGGGTGGTTGGCGGCGGTTTCTGGTTTCCACTGCAAGGCTCTCCTTTTCTCTCTACTCTGTTTTCTTCACTTCCTTGATTTGTCATTGGAAAGATCTACGCGAAAGTCACGAACTTGACCTCCTCCTTTCCCAACAGCGGCACCTCGATCAAGAAACCCTAAAATTTCCGCAGCGCTGGCTAGATTATCCGTGGAAGAATCGAAAATGGAGGATGTTGAGTATTGCTATCCTTTTTAATTTTGAAGTGATTTATTTCGGTTTTGGAGACCTAATTATGGTTGTGAACTTGTGATGATGATGATACCTCAAGAAACGCCGACTTAGCTGCGGAATGAGGAGAGGGCGACTAGAGGTGTAAATGGGAGCTACGAGGCGGAGGCGGTGATGCCACGGCAGTGGCTACGCCGGGTGAGCTCGAGGAATCAGTCAAGCAAGCGATGAACCATACGGCAGAGGACGTAGCGAATTGGCAATTTTTGGCATTTGGAAAGACTGAAGAATTTCTTAGGGTGGGTTTCAGCTCGAAACAACTTCCTAACTGAAGTCAATCGACAGAGAGCGAAAAAAGCTAGTTTGCTTCTCTTGATCTTCTCCAGATCATAAATGGCGATTGAGTGACGGGGTTAACTAATTTTTTTAATTTTTTAAAAATTATTTAAATTGACATGTCACTAAGTTAATGGTCTAGTCAGCCTTTTGGTTTGCCATGTCATCAAAAAATTGACGGAGTTAACGGAATCTGACAGAGACTAACGACCGGTGACTAATGGTGTAACGATTCGTAAAGTTAGTGGCGAATAAGAAAGAAAAGTAATTCGGGTGGAAAATGTGAAAATTTTATATAATTTAAGTGACCAAACGTGTAATTTAGCCTTTTTATAAAAAATCACCTAACGGCAACTTGCATACAAATTATGGCACGCTGGATAATTCTTACCATGAACCTGCGATGAGAAAGTTTTAGCCATTTTTCCAAAATAAGAACGTACTACCATAAGAATAATAAATTAAAAAAAAAAAAAGAAAAGGAAAAGGCAGGCTCATGTGAGCCAAAAAATTGAAATAGGGGTAAGCAATTAAATGAGAAAAATATATTCCCATAGTTACTCACGAGTAGTCCCTTATCCCAGCTTGCAGAATTCCTATATAAATGTTGAAATGGTGGTGAAGAAATTTCATTGTTTTGAGAGTAGCCAAATTGATTCTTGAATTCCCTTTCTGCCTCTCTGTGTGCCAGACAACTTTCCTATATAGGTAGCGACACTCTAGCCCCCAGGCAACATGATCCGTTTGGCTCTTGTTTTGGCTGCATTAATGGCCATCGGTAGAGGTAGAGCGGCAGCCGCCAATTCTATCACGCAGCAGCGGTGCGATCTGTACCAAGGAAGCTGGGTTCCGGACAGCGCCGACTGCCCTCTCTACGATTCCTCGGCATGCCCTTTCATCCGCAAAGAGTTCGACTGTCTCAAGTATGGGCGGTTGGACCATCAGTACCTCCAATACCGATGGCAGCCTTCTGACGCCGCCTGTTCTCTGCCCAGGTTAGGTATCACCAAAACTAAATTCTTCATCATTACACTACTCTTCTTGCCCTGCTTTGATTTTGCAAAAGAAGAATGCGATTCTGCTTCCTCTTCTGATGAATGGGAATTTTGGCTTTTGTATTTTTTTTTTTCTTTTCTTCTTCTTTTTGTAAAGAAAGCGACATGCTGATGATGATTGACGAGATCATTGTTTGAGAAACAGACACACATTCGATGGGTAAATTAATAACGTGCAAGTCTAACTAAACCCCTTTTGCTTATATCCATACACATGCAATTGGGTAGCTTCAACTTGTCCATCTGATTCTGTCAATAATGAAAAAACAAAACTTGTCCATCCATCTGATAAAGGACCCCAAAGCAGATCTGATCGAGCAGCTTCTACAAACCTATGTACCATTAGATTTTCTTAAGAAAAAATAAATTAATATCGTGGTGCAAATCAAATCATTCTTTGTTGGGTAGAGCAGATGGATCTGCGTCTTGAAGTATATGGGTTGGATATTAATTGACTTCTTAATTCCCTCTGATTGTTATGAAGCCTGTCCAACAATGACTATAGGGGAATGTATTTGTATAATCATGATGGCCGTTTCTGTTGCCGGCGCTTGCACATGTCCACGATGTTCGTCGGTGAATAATACTAATTAATGCTTTTATTTATTATGTTTTCCTTTTCTCGTGTGAATGAATGAATGAATATTTACATGTGGTTTGTTGCAGATTTAATGGGTTGGAATTCTTGATGAAGATGAAGGGGAAGAAGATTATGTTCGTGGGAGACTCGTTGAGTATGAATCAGTACGACTCACTGTTATGCATGCTTCATGCAGCTGCTCCCAATTCCAACATTACCCGTGATTATCAACCTCTTCCGACCGTCACCTTCCAGGTTATACAATAATGAATTCCCCTCCTTTTTCTCATATCATAAACTACTTCTTCATGTCATATATTCCAATAATTTGTTATCTTATTTTAGGGTAGTTTTCTTTGGTTTATGGGATTTCAAATTCCATAAATCAAATCAAATCATTTGTATATCTAATTAAATGTAGTATCTGTATTCACCCAAATGCATATTTAGTTTATTACTAGTCATTTTCAATTACATCTCAATAGACTGTCATTTTAATTCCTCACAATATCATATATAATTTTTTGTAAATTAAAAGTTCAGGTACCACGAAAAAAAAATAGGTATTAAATTGTAATTCTACCAACAAAATCCCCCCCCCCCCCCCCCCTGCCTATTTGGAAAAAACCATTCAATTTCAGTTACTACATTTTAATAAATACAAGATTTGGATACTAAAAATTTTTTTTTTAAAAAAAATTATGTTTGGCTAGTGATGTCCAAATTGAAAAAAGACCCATAAAATCTCAAATAGATAAAGTTGAAAGAAAAAATATTGAAATATTTGATTTGAATTATATGTATTTTAAGTGTAAGAATTTCAATCTTTTATTTTTCTATATCATTTTGTTATCGCTTTTTCTTCATTGACTAACTATCTTTGGTTTAGGCGAAGTTGATCACACAGTACAACTAGCCCGTCCAAAAGATTGGGAGGACCATGTCCAGCTAGACTTGTTTATTAGCCCCGACTTTGTGAAATCTTACGTCTCAGCAGCAGCATAGCCCAACTCTAAAGTTCTTTTTTCTTTCGTGGATACCCAACTCTAAAGTTGAGCCCATTATAACATGAATTTTTTATTTATAAAACCACATTAAACTGTTTTCTAAAACATATATACCTTTTAAAAAACCCAGATTAGGCAAATTATGGAATGAATTTCTACCATGGGTACCAAATAGCCAGATTTTTTTAGGACGAAATAATGACTATGAAATAATCTCGCATTTGCCTTATTGGTCCAGATTGATAGTCTATGTGCTATTTTCTTGTTTCCCAAGAATGTAACTATTTTGAAAATTTGAATCATTATCCTCTCAGGAATAAAATTACGTTTCATTAAGAGATATTTTGTTTGCTTACCCATTTCGTAAGTTAATTAGGTAATTGTTTAATTTGGGTTTTTGGATTGATCAGGATTACGGAGTGTCGATAATATTGTTCACAAGCCATTATTTGGTAGATATCCAGCAGGACAAGATAGGTCCTGTCCTAAATCTGAATTCAATGAGCAGCGGCAATCTGTGGAAGCAAATGGATGTGCTGATTTTCAACACTTGGCTTTGGTGGTACAGGACAGGTCCTAAGCAAGGGTACTATATATAGCTTGGGTTCATATATCACCAAATGCCTAATGACAATAAAATATTTATAAAAAATGATTATTACACTAATTATGATGCAACCATTTTAGATGGGAATATATACAAGATGGCAAGACCATATCCAAGGATATGAACAGAATGACTGCGTTTACAAGAGCCTTGCAGACGTGGGCAAAATGGGTAGACTCAAGCGTGGATACAAGTAAAACAACGCTCTTCTTCCAAGGTGTTTCTCCAGCCCATTACGAGTAAGTGCTGCCCTTGAATTTGGTCTGCTCGCTAGCTAGCTAGCTAATTAAGTTAGGATTCCGATATGGGTTTTGTGTTTTAATTATCTCCGTAATTATTTATTTGTGCAGTGGGGCCGGTTGGGGGGAGCCAGGGGTGAGAGATTGTTCTCGCGAGACGACACCAATCGCAGGAGCCAGCCGAGGCGTGGTTCCATTGGCGCTACAAGTGCAAGAGGACATCCTGAGAAGCATAAGGAAGCCGGTCCATTTCCTGAATATAACCGCAATGTCGTACATGAGAAAAGATGGGCATCCAGCATCCCACAACGGCCTTGGGGGCATGGATTGTACGCACTGGTGCGTTGCTGGCGTCCCTGATACTTGGAACCAAATCCTATCAACAACACTACTCACTCAGTCGGGATAATTACTGAAACAAACAATCCAATGCCAAAAAATTCTTATGTCAATGCATGGTTATTACATCGCTAGCTAATTATTAGGTTGTTCTCTCTTTTTTTTTTCAAACAAATAAAAAAGAAAAAGATGAGTAAGAGCTTAATAGCATAAAAAGGAATATTTGTAGCTATGAATTGACGCAGTTTGAAGCTCTAGGGTTCACTAGCGTAGAACCCAAATGAAGACATCAAGCTTGTCACGATAACACCAAAAATCCACTAGTAAAAGGAATGCCCTTAGGTTTAATTGAAAGTACTGATAATAATTCAACGAAAAAAAAAGTACTGATAATGTTTCCAACGTCAGAACACAAGCTTAAATAGACATACAATTCTAAACCAATTCCTTGCGGAAAAAGAAAAGGAATAAAACCTAAATAAACAAGGTAAAACAAAATAAACAAGGAAAAGGCCATGCAAATTCGTTCTCCACCTGGATTGCCGCATCAATCTTGTATGCTAGTTGTCCTGCATCATGAATTGAGAAGAGCATTCTGATTTTTCGAAGGAGCATGCTCTTTGCTTGAAGCAACTAATAAAAAAACATAAATAACAAACTAAGAGCACCGGATTTTATGCAGTTTCTGTTAGAAATCGAACAGGAAAAATTAGATTACTGATCAGGCTGAATCGCGGACTAGGTTGCTCTCTTTAAGACGTACGCGGCACTGCCTCGTTATTCGCACAGCAGACTATCAGCCGGTCGCCTCCAGGATAAAACAACCACTCTTTTGATTTGCTCAGCGGTTTTGCGCGAAAATCCAGAGGTCTTTGAATCTCACTCTCTCTCTCGTGTTTCTGCTCTCTGAGGTGTGTTTAGAGGGTCTAGGGGTCTGCTATTTATAGGAGCAGAAAACCCAAAATTTTCCCTTTTTCTTTGGGAATAAGTCACATTTTAATTAGGAAGATAATTACTCCCATAATTAAAATATAATATATTAAGTTAATTAATCATAATTATCTCCATAATATTCTTTTTATTAATTATCCTTCTTATTTTCGTATCTAGGAAGAATACTAGAAAATTAATTCAATATAGCTTTCAAAGCTATTCATTGCCAACAATCCCCCACTTTAATAGTTTTGAAACTATCTCTGAGCGTCAACAGATCCATAAGATCGGGCATAGGCTAAGGTATCGCTAAGATTTGAACCTTAGCGTAGTGGTTACACTTCCGATTTCATAAGGGTGACTCATAATCTTGAACCCTATCTCAGACAATGTAGCACACCGGATCTTTTCATTGAGTGATATTCTCTCATAGGCCGTGCGTTTATGGCCATGCACGTTATCCCAGTTTAGTGAACGCTCTAGCAACTTTGTGCCTCCAAAGTGCCATAGAGAGCGGCCCCACTCCCACATTCACATAGGTGAGTATATCAGAAGTACCCCCAAAGTAAAATACTTCACCCCACATAGGGTATAGATCTCATTAAGACTTGTTGTTACCCATAGAACCCATTTCTTGGGATCTCCAATCTATTGGGTCGGGTTACCATCACTTGTAGTCCGTGGTTCGGTAGGCATAAGTCTCATACCTTTGGCGGTATTCTGGACTTTCTCTCTAGGTAATCCTTTCGTCAAAGGATCAGCTAGATTCTGTTTGGATCTTATATGATCCACCCTCACTGCTCCTATCGTTAGGAGTTCTCTTACAGTACTGTGCTTACGACGAATTTTTCGTCTATTTTTGTTCTAGAACCGGTTCCCTTCTTTAGCAATAGTTGCGGTGCTATCACAATGAATCAATTACCGGAGGGATCGGTCTTTCCCATAAGGGAATCTCTAGTAGTGACCCTCTCAATCAATTTTTCTCTTTACTAGCCATTGCTAGCTCTATCATTTCTGATTTCTTAGTTGATTGAGCCAGGATCGTTTACTTCTTAGAATTCCAAGACATAACTCTTCCAATGATGTTTAAAACATGTCCACTGGATGCCTTGGAGTCTTCTATAGGGTATTCTCGTCCGCATTAATATACCCTACCAATAAGTAAGAACCGTTGATAACTTATATCAAGGTCCACTGTTCTCTAAGGTGTCTCATGACCCTTTTCAATAGCATTGCAATGCTTCATACTAGGACAATCAGTAACCTTCCAAATACCCCCACTATGTTGGGTCTCAAGTTTATCAGTTGCTTCTTGCACGTTGTCGATGCTAGTATGTTTTTACTTTCTTACACCGTCTTTAGTGCTCTTTAAAAATTATGCTAGCACCATCAAACATTTATGCAGGTGTTGAGCTTGTATTTCTTCTAGATCTAACTGTGTAGTTAGATTGATCTAGATGGAATCTCTTTCAGTGTCCTAGTAGTCTGAATCTTGATTCATCCAGATCTTTTACCTTCATAATTCTCAAACAACATGGTTTTTCATAGTATTGACATCACGAGTCTTTTTACCAAAGATCGACGTGTCATTCATAATGCTAGTGTCATTCTCAAATTTGTACTAAATGCACTTGTCACTTCCACTTTTAAAACCATGAGAGAGAATCTGTTCTGAGTCTATTTCAAATCATATAATGATTTGGCTAACCATAGACTCTAGAAGCATGTTCAAGAATAACAACTTCTTAGGTTGTCTCATGTAGATTTCTTTATCTAAGTCACCATTCACAAAAGAAGTTTAACATCCATATGATGGTTGTTATTCTACATATTGGTGAATAGATATAAAATAAATCTACAATTTTTCCTCTTCACCTAAAGCCTTAGCTATTAGGCGATCACTATACTCATAAACTAAACCATCAGGTTTTAGTTTTTCTTTTAGGAATCCATTTATTACCTTGGTTTCGTTGCCAGGAGGTAATTCTCAAAGATGCCAAATCTTGTTTGGTTCCACTGATATATTACCCAAGGCTTGACAACCAAGAGATAACTCCACACGATTCTAAATCTTACTAGACTCCACAAATTCCATTTCGTTAATAATGGATTCTCCCACAAATCTGCATCTTTATGGATGTTCGAACTTCTAGCAGACTTGTAGGATCTCTTCTTAGGGTGTAAATAACAAATTCATATCCAAAATCTTTTCGCGATTTATGATTCATTTGTCTCTTTTGAGCTCATACCCAGATTCATCACCCCCACTAGTTATCCATTATTAATAGCAGGCAAGATATCACCCCCTTTATTTCTCGATTTAAATGGAATGACATTAATGGATTCTACACAACAATGAGTATTTCATTTCATAAGCTTATGTGTTCTATTATTGATAACACAATCAATAAAACATTATCATGCTCATCCTAGATTGCACTGATTCTCAAACTATACCATATGAAAAAAGCATTTTATAAATAACATTTTACGTCAAAAGCATCACATCTTTAATTAGTGCAATCAATAATAATGTGATAAAGCATTTCACATTATTCTCATTCACACAATTCAAAATGAACAAAATTCAAAGATCCTGATTCTCTAATCACATATTTAAGAGTCATTTTACTTTATCATCATATGCGTACTCTTATAACCATGACTAATAGTGGAGTGAGCAATACTCAGCTACACTTTCGTAATAGCATATGTCTTAGTATGCTTCGAGATACCATTATTCAGCCACCATTCTTCAGAGTTACCAACATGGTTAATCTCTGTTCTTTTGTTAGTCATCACAACCACCAATCCTTCTCTTCAATCAAGTTAACACTAAAACTAGTGTTATACTTGTTCCTACACTTTCGTGTCACATTACCTAATTTCTCGCAACTATTGCAGAGAAATAAAATGTCATTCTTAGAGGATTGTCCGATAATACTTCAGTTACCACGAATGGTACCATTTTAATTGGTGTGGATATGATTTGGTTTGCTATGCTGATTCTTGAACCTTATTAGGGTTTAGAAACATACAAATGGTTCTCATAGTACTGACAAACAGTACTTCTAATAAATATGGGCATATAACCCATTCCACTAGCATCTTTACTATAGAATCTACATTCATATATGCTTCAAAGTATGCATTCATATCATCAAAATTACTCTACTTTATAGCATGTACACAAAATTGTACTCTAATCATTAGAAAGCCACATCTCAATGTCAATATGATCTTACATCAATTATCGTTTCTCTAACATTCTCAAAATTTCTCAATTACATGCATAGAGATATATGGAATAGATTATACTATTCCATTCATTGATAACTTACGAAAAGGGTTTAGTTCTTACCTCTTTTCAACGGGATGCTTCAACACCTCCTCGTTCTTCGACGTGCTAAATACCCTCTACTTCCTTTTATTTCATCTGCCACCATAGAGGAGCCCGGGAAGTGATCGAGTGTCGCCAATTGGTCTCAAGTTTCTTATTTGGCTTGATAGATTCTTACACTCATCGTAACTTCCGCACTATCGACACTTGCTGTGGCTACATTATTAATAAATGCCCTGCAGAGTTGATATGTACGGAGTAGTACTACCAGCTCCATGTTCTTCTTCGCCAACGGAAGCAACAACATATGCTTTTCTTGGCAATTCAAACTCCTAGTTGAAGCCGAGGGAAACAGGTCAAATGCTTCATTATTTTGGCATCTCGGATCCCACCACCTCTTTGTCAGTTGTCACTAACCATCACCAATCAAGAAAGTAGAGCACTTCAGCTAATCGAAAATCAGTGCCAATGTGTTAGACACCTAAAATTAATTTGGCCGAAATTAAATGCCACATTAATTAGTCTCGGCATTTAATTCGATACCGCGGGTTAAAAACGATGTCGTTTGGAGTTGAACGGCGTCGCGGAGAGTTAAAACGGTACCGCAAGGAAGCTCAGCGGTGCCGCGGCACTGGAAACGATACCGAAAAACAAAAGGGGGTCGCGCGTGTAGTTGGGTTGGAGAAGGGAGTTTTATAATTAATTATTACCTTTATTCCTTGTCGGAAGGGGAAAATCAGTACCGCATGGAGAATTAAAACAGTACTGCAAGGAAGCTCACCGGTACCGCAAGGAAG